GATCAAGATTGTTTCTAATTCACATGTGATTATATAGAAGTTTAATGACATTTTAGATTGATTGAGACCAATTTCTTATCCTGTGAATTGGTTTTAAATGGGTTTTAGATCAAACTGGATCAATGTCTGATCGTTTATTTAGATTTTGGAAGGATTTCAAACATTTCTCATTGTTTGGATTGACTTCAAAAGGATTTGATAAAAAAAATCTTGATGGTCTTCAACATGATCTTTTTTAATTAATGATGAAATGTATTTATTTTTTTGCTTGTCTACAAACTTCTCTGTGCCAACCATCAAGCTGGGATGAGATTTCAAGTCAATATCAAATGAAGTTTGCTGTCCTGAAGCTCTTCTTTCCTGGCAGGAATGAAGAGCTTTGAATGCACTTATTGAATGCAAAGTTGATTGATTTTGGTGTTTGGTATATTTTGAGTCTGTAAACTTTGCATCAGTGTGGAAACTTGATTTATCTCTCAAGTTAGTGACCCTTGGTGCGGGTAATTTTGGCACAAGTGTGAAATTTGGCCATGTTAAGTAATTTTTTACTTAATGTAGACGTTGTGACCGCACACGACCCAGTTAACAACTGCAATCAAGTGTGGATGCTCTTAGGAGGTTTGGATTCAGGGTTAGGAGTTAGGAGGTTAGGAGAAGAGGGTTAGGGTTAGGAGGTGGGCAGTTTAGGATTTAGGGTTAGGAGGTTAGGATTACAATTATCTCACAAATATAGTAAATTGATTGATCATGATTACAGCAGTGCTAAGAAGTGATGGGGTTGTTGTTGATAAGCACTTGGGGTGTTCTATGGTCTCCTATGTGCCCACTTGTTAAGATGTTTTGATGATGACACATGATTATCAAGTATTTTGAAGATCTCCCTTGTGGAATATGTAATACTGCTTTGATAAAAAGTTAAGCTGTTAGATTGGATTCATGGCTCTGGCTGGTATCAAAACAGATTATATGTTGAATTGAATTGATTATGTGGTTTGTTTCTCCTTAATATTTAGCAATCATGCCATTTGGAATTTGCTTTTGTCTTTGGATTATGGAGTTTCATCATGTTTGAGATGTTTCATTTCATCAAAGGATATGCATTAAATGTTAGGGATTTGGCCTTAGCCTGTATGAGTTCATGAATAACATCACTTATACAAATGTTGTGAAGATATATATCCTTGCGGGTTAGGGCTTAGGTAGTCAGGTTAGTTTTGTCTATTTCCCTGATTCTTGGTTGCCGTGTGTTCTCATTTGTGCATTTAGTCTTTGATGCTTTTTATAGAATGCACGTATTGATCATGTTGCAGATGTTTTTTAGGGAAGACATCTTGTTTGAAGTGTGCAACCAAACTCGATTCGAGTGATTCTAAACGGGGCAGTGAGCATTGGGTGATTTTGGCAAATATCTGAGACAATTGTCAAAACTTTCTATTTACAAGGATGCCAAAGGGAACAATTTTCGTGGTGTAGTTCGTTTGGCGCAAACAAATCATAAACCTGCAGTTATGCTCGCTAGACACCCAGTCATTTGACATGTGGCAATAAGAAAATTTCCGCTCACCTTAACAATCTCCCTTGTTGCGACTCTGCCGACTTGATTCTTGTGCTTGACTTCATCAAACCTTCAGACGCACGTTCAATGCCTTTTTACTCGATCCCATATCTCTATCTCCATCAGAATGATTTCTACACTTTTAGCTCTCAACACAATCGGATTCTGGCTGGTAATACCTCTTTAATCCTTTTGATACTTTTTTGATGTATCCACCACTCAACTCTCAACAAGTAGTTCTCATCACCGATACTCAACAGCACAACAATCATGATGATTGTATAAAGAAAGTCTGGTGAGTCTTCAACCCTCTCTGCCCTGTCTTGCCCAAATTCCGCCTGCTTCTTTTTGTCATTCTGCTGTCTGTTTGAAAAAAGCTCTCGCCTCTCAAAGCTATACTTGGTCACATTCTAGGCTGTGTAAAGCTGGACATATTCAATTTAGACAAATTCTCAACTCAATCAACTTCGACACGTACCTAAGCGGATCTCTAATGCTTTGATTGGCTGGATTGATCTCGTAGATCTATTCGCCCTTGATGAATCTTCTCATAGTAATCGATGTGGTTTAAAGTCCAATTGCAGCATTCTAGGACACTCAAGCTACATGTCTTCTTCTTGAAGGTTTCATAAACTACAGCTATGCTTGATTGTCACATTTTCTCGAGCTTCATTGATCTTCGTGTCTTCAAGGATTCAATCGTTGTGGTGATCAATTTATGGGATCAATTAAAAAATTCACAATTACCAGTTTACCAGTTTATTAGCAGGATTCAGCAGGAAAGAAAATTCGAAATGGAGGTTTTTGATCAATTGAAGCTCTTGTAGGCTTATGTATTGGTCATTAGGTCAACATTACATCATTTTATTTCACATTATATATTAAGATCATTATAGTTTACTTACAAATTTATTACAAAAAGAAAGAAAGAAAAACATAAGAAAAATTCGAAATTATAGGTATAAAGGTTGGAAAATGGTTTTTAGGTTAGTAAAAATAAAGTTATGGGTATTATGAGGTTAGAATATGAAAGAACAACATTATATGATACTATGACAATTTTAATCTTCAAGGTTGATAAGTAGAAACAGAAGTTACTAGGAAAAAAGCACTTTTTCGAAGTTGGTAAACAAGAGGTACACGTGTAGTTTGGTTGTGTAATAGTGGTAGTGATGGAATTTAAGGTTGCCAAGAGGATTTTCCGGGATTTTTAAGGCTATAGATGATGATGTCATATTACATGAGCAAGAAAAAGATAGTAGTAGCTGTGAAAAGTGAAGAAAATGGGTGAAATTCGTGGAAAATGGAGGTTTTCAGCTAATTACATATGTCAAATGACGTCAGAATAGGTTGGTAGATGGCTCATTCAACGCAGAAGAGTGGATTACATAATGTACAAACTTTAAATCATTAGTAACGGAGGTGTGTGTAAAGAGTTATAAGGCAAATAAAGAATTGGTGTGAATCTCGAATTTACAGTCACAAGTCATATGTAACACTAAAAACCTTAACTTCACAACTCAATATCTTACTCATCACTCATCAGAAGTAGGTCATGTAGGTGTCAGAAATGATCAGTAACACGTGGGCTACAAGATGCACTTTAGTAATCAAAAATTGGAGCACATCTGAAAAAATTCGTAATCTCAAAAATTGGTTTTCAGCTAGTTTACAAGGAAAAAATCACCTGTATTCATCATAAGAAGTGCTGTACATCATATTATTGCGTCATTGATCACTTTTAGCTGTGAAAATTACATCATTTATTAGTAACAAAACCATTACATTGCGTCATCATAGGGTTTTTAGGGAATTTTGGGTGGATTTGATTGGTTTTGAGGCTGTTGACCATTGTAAAAGTTCTAGTACATTGTTATATATACTTTGAGAGGGTTTTGGGACTGTTGTTCCCCTTTTTTTCTTTATCATTTACGCCATTATTATTTTGTTTATCATCATAAACTTATTTTAATAGTACCTGTTCACTTAAATACGCCCTTTATTACAGCTATAAAGAGAAATTTACTTTAGTTTTATAGTCATAAAGACTTATTGGGAATAATATCAATCAGATATTGCTTATTTCTTTAGTTATCAATTGGGAATAACACTATAGCAGTGTTGATAGTAATACAAAGTGTGCTTTTGAAGTTAAATTACGTGTGAAGTTATATTTCTCTGGTGCCTTATCAGTACTCAATACAACAGAGCTCTTTCTGATTGTGTTGTTTTATAAGAGCAGTCCTTAGACAACTTCTACTAGTCATTTTATTAGTAGATTATCCTCTTCCAGCTCTGTATAACCCTTGTTGGGTTATAAGTTCTACATCGTTAATCCCTTTAATAATTCATTCCACTTCTCTATTAATTGGGTTCTTTATTGAACCCTGCGCTTTTAGAAGAAGGTGAAGCTCGTTGTGGTTTGCAACAAGTGTACAGTCATTTAAAGAAAAGCTTGCCCCAATATCCTCGCTAATTTGCTAGAGTTTTGCGGGCAAAGGGGCAAGGAACCTCTTAAATGACTGTAACTTCGAAAGTCTCGATGACACTGACCTTTTTCTTTAATCGCTCTACATTATTCACGGCTGTGTCATCAGTTTGAATGGTTCAAGAATAACCGTGTCAATTGAATGATCGTTTCATTGAATTCGGAGCTATAAGCCTTGCTCATCCACATTATGTATGTAGCAGGGTGGGGCATATTGAATATTATGTATGTTTCTTTGAAATTTTTCTCATGGGTTCGACTATCGATTCAACAAAAAACCGTTATAGTTGAATAATGGTTTCATTGGACAGATAAGCCTGACTCATCGCCCTTGGCAGGGTGGTGCACGTCGCACACACTTGTTGGATTCGTTTTCTCCTTGCTTTTGTGCATCTTCGTAGCTTTTTGATCGATTCAAAAAGATTTGGCTCCAGTGAACAATGGTTTTGTTGAATCGATTAGCCATGCTTGTTCACATGCCACTCTTTTTTATTATCAATTCTTTCACTGTTCCGTACATTATCGCCTATTCTTCATCTCTTTTACCATATCTCTTATGCTGATCAAATTCTCAGTGTCAATATCTTGGTCAGAGTCTTGAATTGTACAGTGTTGGTCATCGTTCTCCCAATGATCATACCGCCTCCTCTCATTGAGCTTTACTTAGTGCTGATCTGTGTTAATGTCTGTGTCTGTATTTCAAGGCATTCCTCATATTCCGACAGCTGAACTATTGTGATTAGGCAACTATGGTGAATGAGTGACGTTTGGAGTATGTATGTATTCTTCACAACGGGCTTTTCTTTTCTTTTCCGCTTCTCTGTGTCTTGAAAGTTGACGTGCAGGCGGGGGGTTTTGTGCATCTTTGTGCATTCAAAGATGCACCGTTGCATCTTCGGATGTACCAGGTGATCTCTGGATGCACAAGGGTTTATTCGGATGCACCAGTGATTCCGATTATCCTTTGGTGCATCCAAGGATGTACTCGTCTATCCATTTAGACAACGTTGCCTGTTGTTTAATGTCTTGCGAAGAAATAGACTTGATGAAGGGCTTGATCGCCAATGAAGTACATTTGGCTAGCTGTGGACGCCGTGAGATGATGAGACGATACTGCGTAGACATGGCAAGAGGTACTAAACATACCCCAGAGTCACCCGAGAAGTGTGTCGTGAAGGTGAATGACCACATCCATTTGGGCCCCCTCTCTTGGATCCTCAAATTGCGTATCCATCTTTTCGGTGTCGCGCTCTCACGAGTCGAAGGAATATATAGACTAGAAGTGCGATAAATCAACTGAAGTTCTGGAGCAGAATTTATAAAGGGTCGGGTTCCAGGAGGAGGTATGATGTGAACGGAAGGCTTGGGTCGATGTGGACGGTCGTCAGATTGAAGATAGCCAAGCAAGCCTGGGGTATGTACCACACCTCGACTTTGGGTGTACATACAAGCTCCTTGTGCAACCATTGATCGCAAACCAGTCGACAAAGACATGCTTATGAATGTGAGATTGGGTGGTATGTATAGATGAAAGTTACTTATCATTGGTGACCGTGGGATGACGATCAGCACAGTTAGAGATCTGAGCGATGGCGTGAGGTTTGCGAAGTTGATGAAGAGGCAGAGAAAGGCAAGAGAGGATTGGTGTTCAGTTGAGTGGTAGTACACCTAGCGACAAAAGAGTTTTCCATCACTACTGTTTTACAATCAAACACAGTGACTTTGTAAAACGATCGATGACGTGAACGAACGGTGAATACAGGAAGTGGTCAATGCTCTGTAAAACCACCCGATCAAATTCAAAATAGGCTTGGAACTTGAATGTTTACTTAAGTTCACCACTTCTTTAACTCTGAGTCAGTTGTGAATTGTTTTCATTGTTCTTTGAGTGCAACCTACTACAAAATACATTCTGATTTAATTTTAAAAGACAATTTCTTCAAATCCAATCAATCCAATCAGCCAATTCTAAACTTCTTATTTTGTAATCCACTTTTCATTCAACTTCTCCTGAACTTCATCCCTTCCTATCTTATCGAGTTTCTTTCTGATCGAAGCTCTTTTCATCAATCTAATCCTACAAGAAAATGTGTGGTATCTTTGCTTATGCTTCTTTCTTAGTCGAAAAGGTCGGTGTTTGACTAAATACTCGTCTGATGATCTCCTTTGGTTCTATACTGACTTCGTAATCTTTTCAGGATCGGCGTTACATCATTGAGACCCTCTTGAATGGCTTACAAAGATTAGAATACCGTGGCTATGACTCTGCAGGTCAGTAGGATCTCACTATCTCATCGTTCAAGAGCTTTCATCTTTCTCACTCAAATGGTCATCTTCCAGGTATTGAGGTGGATGGCGACAAACCTGGAGAGGTGTTCATCTTCAAACAAGTTGGAAAGGTTAAGCTTCTAAGAGCTCACACTGAACAAGCTACCGTCGATTTCGATAAGCAATTCTTGATTCAATCATCAATGGCTCATACTCGATGGGCTACCCATGGTCAACCTTCGTCCCTCAATTGTCATCCTCATCGCTCTGATGCTACCAATGAATTCACTGTCGTTCACAACGGGATCATCACGAACTATAAAGAACTTAGATTGGTGCTCGAAAAGAGAGGATATGAATTCGAGACTGAGACTGACACTGAGGTGGCGGCCAAACTTTGCAAGTTCTTGTTTGATAACAGCAAGGGCAAGAATCTAACATTCACCACTTTAATCAAAGGAGTGATCAAAGAGCTCGTCAGTTTATTTGTGTTTCTCAAATTTACTTGAACCGAATTTCATTTAATCGCCCTTGACGTGATGTCTGACAATATCTTTGATTTCCTGCTCGATCAACTTTACAGGAAGGTGCATTTGCTTTTGTATTCAAATCGGTCCATTTCCCCGACGAAATCGTTGTTTGTCGTCGAGGTTCCCCAGTTCTGATCGGTGTAAAGACCGAGAAAAAGTTGAAAGTCGACTTTGTTGACGTTGAGGTAGCTGGTCCTAACGAGGGAGAGGTCGAGTCTCTCTCTTCCCCGACTGATGCCGCTTCCCAAACAAAATCTGGTTTACTTGCCCCACCCACGGAAGGTGGACTCAAACCAGGTGGTGCCAAGTTGATCCGATCTCAGTCTAGAGCGTTTGTCTCCGATGATGGAGTACCTCAACCCATCGAGTTCTTCATCGCGTCTGATGCTTCGGCTATTGTCGAACATACCAAGCGTGTCCTTTATCTCGAGGACGACGATATCGCCCATATTGCCGAAGGAGAGTTCCACATTCATCGTTTACGACGAAACGATGGAGTGTCGTCGGTCAGAGCGATCGAAACTCTCGAGATGGAGTTAGCCGCTATCATGAAAGGCAACTTTGATCACTTTATGCAAAAGGAGATCTATGAGCAGCCTGAATCAGTTGTCAACACCATGCGAGGTCGTGTTAACTTTGATACGGGCCGAATCAATCTAGGTGGTCTCAAGGCTTACTTGCCCACAATCAGGAGATGTAGGCGTATTGTGTTTGTGGCGTGCGGTACCAGTTTCCATTCATGCTTGGCTGTGGGTACCAACTCCATATAGGCTATATTTCAAAATTCACAAAGACTCACCTGTTTTCGTTGATCTGCCATGCAGACTCGGGCGATTTTTGAAGAGCTTACTGAAATTCCGGTGTCGATCGAATTAGCCTCTGACTTCTTGGACCGTCGCACTCCCATCTTCAGGGATGATACTTGTATCTTTGTTTCTCAATCAGGGGAGACTGCCGACACAATCTTAGCCATGCGATATTGCTTGGAGCGCGGCGCGCTCAATGTGGGAGTAGTCAACGTTGTCGGCTCGACTATCTCTCGAGAGACTCATTGTGGAATTCACATCAATGCCGGCCCAGAAATCGGAGTCGCATCCACCAAGGCCTACACCTCTCAATACATTGCTCTAGTCATGATGGCTATTCAACTATCGGAAGATCGAATGTCATTGACTGAACGTCGCAATCAAATCATTGATGGACTTCACGAGTTACCTCGCCAAATTCGAGAGATTTTGACTCAAGATAAGGAGATTCAACAACTAGCTGGTACAATCAGCAAGGAAAGAAGTTTGCTGATCATGGGTCGTGGTTATCAACATGCAACTTGTCTTGAAGCTGCTTTGAAAGTTAAAGAGCTGACTTACATGTTAGCAGCCTTTCATTTCCTCTTGAGCCTTCCCGTCTTTCTATACTGACGAGTGACCATTTTGAACATTAGGCATTCAGAGGGTATTTTGGCGGGAGAGCTCAAACACGGTCCCCTTGCGCTCATTGATGAAAAGTGAGACTTGTTGTCCTCTTTTCGCATCATTATCTGGAGTCTAGTTGCTGATTGAACACTTTTCTCTGTCTCAAAGTATGCCCGTTATTATAATCATGACGAAAGATTCACTTTACCCTAAGGTTCAATCGGCTCTTCAACAGGTCACGGCTCGTAAAGGTTCTCCAATCGTGATAGCCAATGAGGGTGACACTGGCTTGACAGCTGCGGACTCTACCAGAATATTGAGAGTACCGCAGACAGTTGATTGCTTACAAGGTCTCCTAGCTATCATTCCTATGCAGTTGCTTAGTTACCACATCGCTATGTAAGTCATTTGCAATGGCTTCAATTGACAGACAACAATCTGATCCTTACTCCTTTGCTTGCTCTTCGTTCAATCAGTTTGAGAGGTGTTGATGTTGATTTCCGTAAGTATTGCGCTTCCTTCTCCCTCATCTGTTGTAAGATAGTCAGGTGTTAACGTTTCTGTTACTGGTTTATTCAGCTCGTAACTTGGCCAAGAGTGTGACGGTGGAATGAGTCCTATTTTATTTTGTTCAATGTACCAAGTTTCATCTTTTATTTGTCATCGGGTGACCGAGTTAATAGAGTGAGTGCACAAAAGAATATTTCAGTCTTTTTGTATCCTAGGCACAAATGGTCAATTTTTTAATTGATTAACCCCTACCTTCGAATTGGCAGATTTTCAAAAAAAAACTGTAAGACAATCATTTTCTCCAATCTTGGACGGTAACAATTCATCGAAGTTGAAAGGGACCATCATTTTGCAACTTTCCCAATGTTTTGCAAAATTGAACCACGTCAAAGAGGCTTTCTTTTTTGAAAGAATGAGCAAAAGATAAACTGAGGCGCAAAGATAACCAAGAAGCCTAAAGAAATCTGAAATCGCTTGTTCTTTCTTATTTCTTATTTCGTTCCTTCCACATTCTCCCTATTCATCTGAAAATTAGATGTCTATCTTTCTATGTAATGAACACTATGTTGACAGGAATGATGAGCTTAACTCAAAAATCCTAAACTTGAAAGCTGCGAGTTTATAGAATCCTTTATGCAGTTGTATCAATTTTAATTTCATAATAATAAGTGAAGTGATTTAAAATATTCTTACCAGAATCAGACTGACAAAAGGCTGAGGGTTGCCGGGAATATACTACATTCTCGTTAGGTCTTCGTGTCTTCACCTCATTTGACAATATTAGACGAGAGAGCTGCTGAGTGTGGCGGTATTGCGTAAGTTGAGGGAAAATAATGGAAATCTCAATTTGTTACACTCCCATAAGTGCCCTCTGTATTTTAGGAATTGATGGTGTACCACTTCCTGAACTCAACAAAAGCTTGCCCTTGAAAGTTAAGGAGCACAATCACATTGCATAACTGCACCCTTCTTTGACTACACTGACCATGAAAGCCTTGTCTCAAATGCAAAGGATTAAATGTGGGATCATCATTTGAAATTTCCCCGAAATCAATAAATTCTTCAGGTTTTGAATAAGGATCTTGTCCTGTTTCTGCAATTTTTTGTCAACTCAGATGATATGATAATGAGCTCTTCAGTTCCATCGGTAGCCAAAACTTGATTGAAGCAATGGGCTTTTCTCCAAATCGGCAGGGATCAGTTAGCTTTATCCACTGTCTCAAATCGTGCCAAGTAACCTCGCTGCTCAAGCACCAACCGGCATCAAGGCTTGGTCTGGCTTGGTGCTGAGCTTCTTTAGCGTTGTCGAGACTCGAGATTGTGTGACATACCCGCGTGTCGGACTGTGTGTCACAAAGATGAGTCGTGTGATATTTTCAGAGCACCCGACGAACAGCAATTGAAGTTTGAATGACACCACTCGATGTAGATAAAGTTAATAAGGTCTTTGAACCCTTCAACCGACAATCCTTGTAGCCACCCATCAAGGTGAAGTCTTGATATCTGAACTAAGCGATTTATCAACCTGCCTTGCAACTTCATCAAGTTCAATCGGACACTTGGCTCAAAGATGGCTTCATGGAAACTTACACAGGCTCTCAAGGACAAAATTACCCACTTTGCATCGTTCCCACAGGTCAGTAGGCTCACTCGAAACTCCGAACAAATGAAACCTACATTTCTCGAAATTGACCAATTTATTGCTCTATGACCGGAATGGATGAAATCAGACAGGAGTTTCCTTACGGCAGATGGTCATGTTTGGTATGTTCAATTGGACATGCGGCTCTGCTTTCCATAACACCGGTAAAGAGAATTTACCCATTGGGCCTTCAACATCGCAACAGGACAGAACCCGTCTGCGGGAACATTGTTGCGAGCTAGTGAATTCATTCATGGTACGTAGTCAGATCGTGAAATTCAAAACGAGAAGGTGGAGGTTGCTTCGAAGAGAAAGATCCTGGTTAACATATTCGACTTTTGGTTTGTTGTCCTGCTTCCTGATGTACAGAGGAGCTACCTATCAGATTGGCACACCGGGTGAAAGAATTGAATGAGCTACCGAACCGTTTGAACGAAATGCCGAGCATCCTCAAAGTTCGCGATTGGTACGCACAGTCTTTCGAGGTCAGTCTTTGCGACTCGCGATTAGGAATCCACGCTTTGATCTATCTTGACCGCTCATGCATTGCCTATGTTGATCATATTCCACACAATGGTGCGATTCGTATGCCTCATAGGAACTTGTGGAATTCCCGAGACCAGAACTTCCGCCCGCGATCATGGCTCAGTTTGATAAGGCCGTAGAGAAAGGAACCCCCTTACCAGCCAGCACCCCCAACCCCAGTTTACCACTACATATGCAAAAACCTTTGCTGCAGACGACAGGGAGACAAAGGCTTGGTTTGGCCCACAGGTACGTTTCATATTTCCTGGCCATCAAACCGAATTAGACCAGGTTGATTTCAAGAGGGATACAGTGTTTGATACAATTTAGATATGTGCAGGTATTACGTCGATCTTGGTACTATCAACTGGCCACCAGAAGTCTACGATTACAACGAGAAATTCACTCAGACTTTGTCAGTCATCAAACGGCGGCACGATCCGGTAGTTACCACTATTGCTCAGGGAGTTTTGGAGTACAAAGAGTTCCTCTCTGGGCCTGCAAAGACAAAAATTCCTGCGGCGTCGAGAGTGATCGATCGATCTATCCAAACATTTCTTGACCGATTTTATATGTCCAGAATCGGGATCAGAGTCTTGATTGGTCAACACATTGCTTTGAACAAACTCGAACCTCACCCGGACTACGTTGGTGTGATCTGCACAAACACCAATATTTATCAGATCTGCAGAGAGGCAATTGACAACGCAGTCTTCATCTGCGAGGAGCACTATGCGTTATTCAAAGCCCCGACCGTTCAGTTAGTCTGTCCCAAAGATTTAACTTTCATGTATGTACCCAGCCATCTGGTAAGTACAAAACATCTCTGTGGAGAACATCATGAATTTTGATATTAACAAACACTGCCTTACCACCCTGGTTCATGTACCAAAGAATCACATGGTATTTGAAGTTGTGAAGAACTCCCTGCGTGCTGTAGTTGAAAAGCATGGTGTTGATTCGGACGAGTTTCCTGCCATCAAAGTCATTGTGGCTTATGGTGAGGAAGATATCACGATCAAGATCTCGGATGAAGGAGGTGGGATTCCACGTAGCGCGGTACCCTTGGTTTGGACTTACATGTACACAACGGCGCAAACGCAAGGGTTAGAACAGAACTTTGGAGGAACGGACTTCAAAGCACCTATGGCTGGGTTTGGTCAGTTTTAATTTGATTATCAACTTTGCGCACAAGACAGAAGTACAAATAAATATTGGTCCCTGATCTTTCTCTTCGGGTTTCTTGTATATAGGTTATGGATTGCCTATTGCAAGACTATATGCGCAGTATTTCGGCGGGAACTTGAAACTCATCCCTATGGAGGGCTATGGAACCGAGTGAGCATCATCTTCCTTTCTCTCTCATCAATTACCAAAGCCTTCCAAGACGCTGAGGAAATTTTGCATCATGCTATGTGTACTTCTCCTTATGTTCTTGAATCACTTTACTCGCGTCAAATTCAATTCCTCATCACTCAGCGTTTATTTACATCTATCCAGACTTTCGAGTAGTAGTGAGCCATTGCAGTGATGATAATTCTTTTGTGCAGTGATGATTTTTTTCTTCAAATTTCTTTTGTCGTATCTCGTTTCATAAACTTCTTCTAGTTCCACAGCTGAACATTTCACAACAGTACCATGAACTTTCGCTACTTGTCTTCCTTATCTGCATGTACAGCCAGTTTTATCATGTCGTCGCTTCTAAACTTCAGTGTATCGTTTTGTTAGGCAAGTAGAGTGAGTGTGTGAAAGATGCAATGTGCAGACAACAGTCAATATCTTAGCCTATTGATTGTATCTAGTTATCGTTGCATACTGATATTATCGGATCATCTCCATTGCTTAATGCATACCACTATAGCCTCATTTCTAGATCAACCCCTAATTTTTTTGATCGACGTCTATAATGTGTCTTCTGTTTCTCTCTGCTAGCTAGAAGAAAATGATAGTGGTCAACCTATGACTGCAACACTAGTCCGTTTGCGCACATAACTGCGTCTTGCTGAATTGTCTTCTCCAGATCATCACTTGTGTTTTATAAGATAAACCGAGTTCCTCTTAGTCATCCTTGATATTGATATGCGAATTCTCGTCGACGTCACCGCGGGACGGGGGGTTCTGTAGGAACCTCTAAGACACAATTGTGTCTACACAAAAAAATCCTTGAAGTTTGAAGGGCTGGGGGCCACAGTAAATAAAAGTTTACAAACTTTTTGACCAATTTGAACCTTCCACAATATTAACAGATTGCAAGTAGAACATAATGGATCTGTAAATATAGTATGCATCATTGGAGACAACAATGACTGGTATGTGCACCAGTAGTTATGTGTTAATCTGAAGAGTCCGCCTGCATTTGTGATCCTAGCTGTAAGCTTACTTACACAGGAAAAATTTCACAGCTTTGATTTAAATTAGACAACTTCAAAGAAATATATTTTTGATACCAGGACAACATACAAAAACGTAGGAACATGATTTGTGAGAGATGCGCCTCTTTTGGAAAGAAAATTCTGTGGAAAGACATTGTTTGTTGAAGAATTGAACACCTGAAACATATCATTTCAGCATTTCATCATGGTGTTGTGTACTCAAGCTACTACAGAAACATTGACTTTTCCTGAGATTGGAGCTTCAACATGCATAGAAGTTTTTTGATGCCCACACCGAGCATCAACCCAATCCCCGACAGTCTTGACTACTTTGTGACGAATTCTGGGGTCCTAAAAACGCATTTTAATGGATTCATTTCCGTTATCAGTTTCAATCAACCAAAATCCATACAAATGTGTATTAGAAAGTTACCTGTAAAAGCCAATGATCTGAACTCTCCATCACTTTTCTCTCTAAATTGTTATCCGGGAAGAGAGGTGCTAGTTTGGCAGGATCGGACATCTCGAGTGGCAATGCTCCATCATTGGTGGCTGCTAACATTAGACAGGGAACCCTGGGTGGGAAGGTCACAGGCAAATGATTGTCTGTATCCGAACGTAGTCAGAACCTTGTCTAGTATCGGTTGATATCACTTCACTTAACTTTCACTCACCTACTTCGTCATGGAAATTCAACACTCGAGTCTGTAAATTTAAGAGGGGATATCAATTTGTAATCGCAATCAAAGCGCGCTGATGTTAACGAAACGACGTACTTTGTACCACGAAAGCGGACCTCGCATTCCACCATTTGTAAATGTATCAACGTACTCTTGGAGCTCCTGTTGCAAGACCATTAAAATTTTGAAAGCGGATTAGATTCTTTCTTGCTCTTTGACTGGTTAGAGATGAGGGTTTTACGCTGGAGGGAACATCGGCAGCTTGAAGCTTCGGAATGGTTTCATTTATCATCTTTTCGAGGTTTCCTTCGTGAGACCATACACCGTCATCAGGCTTCCAAGCACCAGACCAGATATTCCAGTAGGCCATCATCATGAATTCACGTGAGTTCGGATCGATTGTAGCATCGGCTTCAGGAGTTTGAAACCATTTTTGATATCTGGATATCACTCTGGGTCAGCTCTGGTTATAGAAGAATTTTTTCAATCACGCAAAAGTGACATACCCAAAGGTTGGGATTCTTGAGATGATGAAATCAATGTCGGGTTCCTTTTGTCCTTGCTGACCTGCCGGAGAGGGCGGAGTACATAACCTAACGATACATGCATACAAGTCATCAACTGCTTGATGATCATTTGGGAAAAGAAAAATGAGATCAGCATACACTGCGATAGCCTTCACTTGAGCACTGCGGTACTGTAAAAACCTCCAGGCAATGAGACCTCCCCTTTATTCACCACAAGAACTAAAGTCAGCTACGATGATCATCTAGAGAGGAGGGTTTTATATTCAAAAGGGTCCTACAAAATAACACAAATACTGACCAATCGTGACCGAGGACGACGACTTGGTCGTTGATGTTTTCATGCTTCAAAATCTCCACGGCCGCATTGACTGCAGCCAAGATGGTGTAGAATTTCAATTCACCGACTGGTTTGTCCTGCATCATCATGGCAAAGAATTCGAGACTTGAGCCACAACAACTTACACACCCCGATAGTGTCAAGATCGACATTCACTCACTGTGTCTCCACATCTATCCAAACCAAAAGAATGAGTTTGAAGGATAGATAAATCTCAAAGGGAAAAAATAGCTCACCCAGCTTGATCTGGAACAATGACTCTATAGCCTCGTTGAGTAAGCTCCTGGATTTGATAACGCCATCCATAGGAGCTATTTACATCGCGCCAGATCCAAGTCAGATAAATCCATCATGAATGATACTGATGTTTGATCACTTACAAATCAGGCTGTCGAAGTTAAGACCGATAAATGAGCACTTTAGTTTCCAAAACCAAAAAGATAAATTAAAAGGAATCTTTGTACATACAAATCCATGGAAACAAAGCACAGTTTCACGCGTATCTATACCAGCTGGCGGCGCTTGATCAATATAACCTTCATCGAGATCAGTCATTTAAAGAATTCAAGCAGCAGGATTTCAATACTTATTACACCTTGAAAGCTTACGAACAAACGAAAAGAAAAGCTCAACTATAATTCATTCCACTTGAGACGGTCAACTGTTTACGGTTAAAATCAGATAGCTTCATTTTCATGCGATTCTTCAAACAGTTCTATCAAGACTATAAATCTTTTGGAAGATCAACACTGCGATGATGATGAAAGGAGGGATTTTTTTTAAAGATTTTTGAAGATTGAACCCGGAAAAATGAACAATAACTCAGACTCAACTCACACTCACACTCAAGCAAATCAAATCTAGATCATGAACTCGATTGATGAGTGACTACGTCCATGGCCAAATGGATCTCTGAATTTACTTCAATAACACTATCCTACATTTGCGATTCCAGATTTTCAGTCTTCCTGCCTTGCAATGATGCCGTGTACATTAGCCGTGGACTTTCTGCGTTTGATTTCTTATAGGTTTGAAAGTGAATAGGTTCATGGACCGAACAGTTTTGAGTGTTGGAGTCTCGGTATATAGTGGCAACTATCAAGAGTTAAGAAGCCACGGACCGCGTAATTTGTAATTACAACAAACATTCTGACTTTCATTGGGTGCACCCTTGACCGTCAAAGATAGAAAAAAAAACAGGAACTTCGGAAATTAGTCTTCTGAGGATAATTTCGAATAGCCCTGAACGATAGGACCCCAAATATACCTTGATTTGTGACTCGGCTGATATTTGTGAACGCGAGATCCGAGGGACGCCGCGAGAGGGACGAAAAATCACCCGATTGAAGTGGCGCTCGATGGTTGCCACTGCACGCCAATTTGATAGTTATATGTAGATCAAATGGGTTGCTCTGTTCGATTTGTGCGGGTGCCGTACGCCATTTTGATAGCCATAGATTTCATGGGTTGGTGTTTGCTTTGTGTTGATAGTGTGCAGTCCTGTGCAGTCTCTGATCTAGTTTCTCCTGAATTGCTGTGCAAGTGGACGTTCACTTTTACAGTTTCATTTCACTATCTTTGGCAAATAGGCAAGTCCTATGTATCAATTTTAATGAAGATCGAGCAGAGCGCAGAACACGCGTAATATTCAAAAACCCATTTGTGTGCTCTGATGTTCCGCTCTCGTTTCAGGGGGTCGTCATACAACTCTTTTGAATGAAAAAATCGATACTTGAATGTGTTTTGATCAGCTGTCGTCGAAGGGAGTAAACGAGATTCCTTGTCGAACGAGATTTAGACTCGCTCAGAGGATGAGCCGCCTGCCAAGAGTTCATCAAATATCAGACTTCTCTCCTATCTCAAAGAGAAACCTGTTGACTAACCCTACGCATATTTTGAGGCCAACACTAATTTCTCGGCCAAAGACTTGTCATTGCGCTCAATAAGCAAAAATGATGAGTGGAGAAGCCAATTGATCAGCTCCAGGCAAAAAATGGAAGGAGGGTAACCAGATAATGAATGCTATTGCTTGTCTTTAGCTCAATACATCATACAAGTGTTTCATGATAGAGATTAAACAATACTCAATATCAATAATCATAACAATATCAAACATCGAGAAAGACAAACATGAAAACAAGCTGGCCAGTTTCTTTTGACTTTGTCATCTCCTTTTTGATATGAAAGGAAGTGAGGACATGAAAATTAGCCACAGTGCCCGTGGAGAAGGCCCCCGACGTCGGGGGCCCAAAGATCTTGCGCAAAAGCATCAAAAAAACTGTGAAATTTCTGTCCGGCCCAAATTGGTACGCTGAGCCTGCCCAGTTTGCCCCATCCCCAGCAGCCAGACTCAGGCGTTGACCTCAGGTGCACTGAGCCATCGTCCAACTTCATCAACAGTGATGAGCTAGGATGAGCTGAGATGAGCCGGGATGAGCGGTCCTGCCCTGATTGTATGAACCCATGGGGGATCCGTCAAATCAAACTGCAAAACAAACCGATTTAAATCTGAAGAATTCGAATCAACCAAGTTCAAAAAACAAAATCGAGATCAAATCATGGAATCAAAAGTAAATTTAATCAATCAACATTGGTAGAAACCATTCAAGAAGGTTTGATTGCGACATGGTCTCGAATCAAATCAAAGCTTAAAGAGCTCATTACATAAATAGAAACTTGAAGGATCGACAAAATGAAAAGTTTTTGAGACTTTGATTGATACAGGTTCAACCAGCGAGGATTGAGAAGTTTAGATGTTAGGATCCAGGTGTCAGCAATTGGCCTGTGAGTATGATTTGTGATCTTGCGTCTCTCAAGCCCTCCACCGGCACGCTGATCCTACCCAATGCCTATGTTAAGCCAAACAGCTGTCACTGACAACGCAGTGAATGCGAATATTGAAAGCATATTGTCACAACTACAATGACACCAATCTTTCTTGTTTTCTTTCCGGCATCTAGAATAATCCTTGTTGGTTCGTTTTCCTTTAGTCCACATTGTTGAGCAGCTTATCGTTACCGAGAGTCAAAATCTTCACTAACGCTATATCTTTCCTTTGATTGCCGCACAATAAACATAATTTTGCAATTTCAGAACATCATCAACAACAACAACATCATCGTCATCCACACCAACATCATCATCCACATTATGAACCATACCTATCACCCTTTGTTACATCGGCCACACCTTATCATCCATCACCTTTAGAATCATCACAAGAACATCATAGTCATGAGATCTGGCCACCGCATCAAACAAGATATAACCGGTCCAAATAATGAATAGATTCCATCTTATCATCAAAGTCTAGCTGTGGATATGTGCGCACTGGTCTTGATGAACCCATCTCTCTTAGCTTAACACAAGCCCGCATACATAAATCAATCTCTTTAAATCTTCATTTAATCAAGCCTCATACTTTTAGTTCAGTTTTAACTGTTTACCCTTTTGATTCACAAGCAGAGGATGAAAAATTAAATCAAGACTCTGGACCAGATCGTCTACTTTCCAAAGCTATCTTTGATCAAACAACAATGATGAAGTCAAACTATGAAAAGGTCAAAACCTGGAAAGATTTTGGTATGTCAAATATTCAATCATGGTTTTGTTTGGGCTGGATCTGACATGAGCTTCAATATGTTTGCAGCAAAAGCTCGTATGTGTCTAGACAGAAATTGGAGTTCAGGCAATGGCCATTGGATATCAGCTATGAGTCCAGTTTGGAGATTTACAATTTAATCATGGGTTTAATTATAGGGTAGCCATGTCAGAGTCAGGAAAAGTAGTTAACCAAAATGGCTCGCACTACACTTCGTTTGGTCGTGGGTGCTTGGAATCTATAATCTGTTATACATATCTGAAAGAGAGACTCTTGCAATTGAAATGGCCAAGATCTTGGAGAAGGTTTCGTTTGTCTTGCTATGTCTTCAATTACACTTTGAAATGACTACACCACATCTTTAAGATCAATCTGCATTATCTTCTTTAGATGGAAAAATGGGGCATATAAGGTGGTTTTTTCAATCTCGATATCCGCCGTATGTGTAACAGTACTGATTAGATATCTTATGTTATACCGCAATAGGTGTAATTGCTTTTACAAGTGCAGCTCAACAAAAACATTTTGGACAAGTACCAATCCAGAAGCTATATGGCCATCACCATCAGTTGAGTGCAGTTACTTTTGATGAAAACTGTCACTGAAGAGCCCTTTACATATTGATCACAAGATGCTTGAGAAAATATATACAAAGATATCTTGAACTAATGTATTCCAATGATAGATGATCTGAAGCATTTTTTGAATCAGGTCTCAAAGTGAACCAAAAGAAAAAGACTCAAAATTGTTATATATAAAGGACTTTATCTTTTCCCTGGGCAAAATCAAGATCAAAACAATATCCAATACACAAATGATATTATGTAAGAGAAATATAAAAGTAATCACGGTATTTATATTCATCCTTAGACTTGTTAGAGTCACATCTGGTAATGTTTTTTTGTACAAGTGATTTTAGAACATTACTTCACGTATCTTTTTCTCTCTGTTTCTCTCTCTCTCTGTTGGGTAAGCAAAATGATTCATGAGTTTATTTAAAATGACAATTGCAAATAGAAAAAAAAAGAGAGAATCAAATGAATGTTAGAAAAGGAAAAAACAGAAAAACAGAAAACAAAAAGAAATATTCAAACAAATCCAAAAAATTGATATTGTATGAATGCAAAGGAGAAAAACAAAATTAGGAAAGAATTAAAACCCGAAGCAGACAAAAGGCATAGTAAAAGTAAAAAGGAAAAAGGAAAAATAAATATTGAGTTTTTGTAGATGTTTTTCTTTCTTCAAAAAATTGCAAAACAAAAGAAGTAAAAAAATGTAAAGAGAACAGAGAAAAAATCCAACAAAAAAGAAAACAAAAAGGGTTTTCTATATACTTTGAACAAAAGGAATTAAGTAAAAAGGGGGATATCTAGACAATGCTGCAAGATTTAGCTCTCAGCAAAAAAAAAGTAAAAGTAAAACACTATGCAAAAAAAAGAAAAGAAAAAAGAAACTCCAGCCGAGAAATCTAGAAATCCATTTCAAAGAAGGAGATTACGTAAAATATCAACGATGAACCGATCTATGAATCCCACCACCTTCGCTAGCGGTTCTAAAACTAATCAGACTCGAAACCAAATCATCAGGTCCATTAATTCCTAAAGAGTTTTGATGATCATCCGAATTGAGGATCCGAAGCTGCAAACCATTCATGATAATGAGGTGAGGAACCCGAGCCCCGATTAGGTAAACAAATCCGACATGATTGGTCTTGATTCGTCGATTCTTCTGTCCATGATCTAGTTCGAGTTCGAATATGTGATGGGGGTGGTGATTCGAATCCAGTATCTAATCTAATCCTTTCTCCAATCCCAGTAGGTAAAGGTGTTGTCATCGGATCGGATGAAGTCGTTCTATTCAAAAGGGTAATCACTTGGATTGTTTCTACTACTGCTGTCATTTTGACACTTTCAGATCTAGATTGAGTCTTCTAATCGGTTGTTGTTGTTGTTGTTGTGAATGTTTTCCATTCTTCTTTTTCTGTTTTTCATTATAAAACTTGGCATTCATTCGATTTTCATATTCTAACTCATGATCTGATCTTAATCTTGCCATAATAATACTATCAGCACCTTTACAGATCAATTTGATTTTTCCATTCGGACATCTAACCAAACGACTCATTTGTTTTCTAGAACTATTGAATTCGATAATCTTCAAAAGTTGATACTTTTGTTTGACGCCCAAGATTTCTAAATATAATTGGTCACCTAATTTCTTCACAAACACAAATCCTAAATCTCTTGCTGCTGCTACTAAGGCTGCTTCACCTGGACTTTCAGCTTTATATTCGATTTTACCTTCACTTTTACCTGCGTTCACATCATGACATAAAGCAAGTGAAGTCCAAAATTCAATCATTCTAATCCGATGTTCTTCTGATTCAAGATCTTCATTGAACATATCTTCCACTAATCCTGGTGAGATCAAGGTAAGACTTTTGGAATTTAAATATCGATGTCGAAAATGTCGATTCATCAAATCAATCATCCTTAGTTCAGATTCAGCTAAATGAGTAGCAGCTAAAGTCGGATCATCTAATGCAGATGGATCATGATCAGCCCCTCTTTTAGCTGCTCCTCTCATCACATCAGTAACGCCTTCTCCATAAGCAATACCTGAAATCAAACAACGTTGAAATTCCATGACGTTTTGAGTTAAAGTGCCTGTCTAATCACTAAAGATATATTTGATTTGACCTAGATCATCTGAAAGATTCGATGATTTAGGTTCAGCTGGACAATTCGAGGGTTCATAGTACATTTCGATATCTCTGAAAATCGTCAAAGCTTCGATCGTTCGAACAAATTCAAGAGTGATGACCAATGAGATGGGTACAATTGATTGAAACAGAATCAAAGCTGCACTGTGAGATGCTCAAAAAGATCAAATCAATATTCAACTTGAACCAGAAGCCAAAAGAAAAAGAGACGAACCCGAAAGTGACCAATGCATCTAATGTAGCAATCAAAAAGATACTTGCGTTTTGTTCATAATAATAAGGACTAGTTGACGTATTACCTGAATAGATTCCATCTCCAATCGCATTGATAGCACAGAGTAAAACCAAGATGACGAAATTGATGATCACAGCATAATTGGTTTCATCTGAGATTTTGGCTTTCTTGGAAGGAGTATCACCTATGAAAAATTCAGAAAAAATCAGTATCATTTAGAATGTTGAATTCCAAAGAAAAGTCTGCTAACCTTGATCTAACATGATTTTAGTATCTTTACCAGTAAAGACCACTAAACCCATAACCCGTTGAGTATTTCTCAAAGTACAACCTCTCAATAACATCTCATTAACCCCAATCACTTCTCTTTTCTCAGATCCTTTTTCAAGTTTACGTCCTTCAGTTACTGGATGTTCACGTCCTTCACGTTCGTCTTGAGTCCAATACTTTAATGTAGCATTATATGCATACAGATTCGCATTAGGTGGTTCTGAAGCAATTAAGAAATGAGCGTGTTCTAAATCTTCTTCATTTGAGATCAATTTAGTGGATTTAATCGATTTACGTGGTTTCAAATTCGTTTCTCCATCTAAATTCTTCGTTTCTACAAAACATTGTCCATCTGGATCTGAAGATGATAAGATCACTAAATGGCTGGTATTGCTTCATCTTCTCTTAATAAAACTATATCTCCTACTTCTAATTTTTTCCATAGCGTTCTTTCCCATTTAGTTGTTCCTGAGGTGGGGGTTGAATAATCGACGACTTCTGATGATGATTTTCTTCCTCTGGATTGGATTGATGAAGTAGCTTGAGGTGTCATAGGTGGTTCGGATCCAATATTAGAGCCGCATCAAGTACAGATCTACTTGGATTAAAACTACTTTGACCTCCTTGATTTCCATCATCTGAATCTGAATCGTCTTGATCTCCTACTTGATTTTTGTCATTCAATTCTCTTAAAAAATCCGTATTAAAAGTACCTTTTTCCCTTTCCCGTAACTTTCGAACTCCTTTAGTCACCTTACTACGATATTGACTTGATGAATCGGCATGTTGATCTACATCATGTGCTTCCCATGGCCAATCTAAATTCTCCCACCATGATCCTCCACCTGATCTACGTACATTAACATTTCGCCAATCTCCTAATCTTGTACACGGTGAATTATTCACACTGTTATCTAACATATATCTTTGATAATCTTCAAAACAATCATTGGCTCCTGTTACACATAAAATGAATAGTAATGGTAACATTGCCACTTGTGGTGTTGCGGCTCCAAAGAAGGGGAAGTTTTGAAAGATGACTAAGACTAGGAAAAAGATGACGTTTCGGAATTGTTCAAAGAGATCCTGTAAAGAACATTGAAATTGAAAGAAATATTAGTTTAATTGAAAAATTAGTTTAGAGATTGAAAGAATGACACACCTTTGGTAAGATTGAAATGATTGTATATTTAGTAGTTCTGACTTTATTTCTAACATATTTAGCTAATGGATCACCATTTCGATCGATTTGACCAGTAGGTAAGACCAATACACATACATAAATTGATCTTCTTTGATTCAAGAATAAAGGACCAGTACCATTCTTGGAGTGTCTCTTGAAATTTTTCTTTTTAAAATCAGTTGCAGGCGAATCTTCTAATTCTTTTAAATTTTGAGTATGTTCATCTTCACCTGAATCAGTAGCTAATGGAGAAGGTGGATCTAAATCAGGTACAATAGGTGATGGAGGTAATTTAGATTCTAAAAACGATTTTCGAGATGTATAATTCGAATTCGCAGTGGGAGGTCTAGATCAACACCTGACTTCAGCGCAGAACCGCGCAGAGTGGGCTAAACTGCGCAGCGTCCAAACTTTTGAAAACATGCTCTGTCGCTGCGCAGCGCTGAGGGCGCAGTGACAAAAGAAACGATAACCCCAGCGGTGGGCAAAGGTGCAGTTCAGCACAGCGCAGTAACCTCAAAACTGCGGTAGGTAGGCCAAGATTCACAAGAGCGAGGTAGAGCGAGGTAGAGCGAGGTATTGTAAAATGGGGACAATCAGATTTTTGGGAGTTCCGAATCTGATGAGCTTACAGCGGAATAGAACAGTTTGAAGCGGAGTACGTAGAAGATCATTTTTGATTTGAATTGGAACATTGAAAAGTTTAAATCGATTAGAAGATTAAAAGGGTTTTAAAGAACGTTACGAAAATAAAACAATGATCAAAAGCAATTAAGAATGAGAGCAGAAAGAGGCCAAAGATGGCCGAGCATTCATTTGCTCGAGTCTTGGGCTTTCTTGTTCTTTTTCAAAGTCTTCACCAGTTTGTCTACAGCCACAACAGCTTTTCCAATTTCACCACCTGGATAAAAACCATGCTTGAGCCACTGACAGACGCCTACCGCGCGTTCGATCGTTCGTGAAACTAGACCACCACGACTGGTGGTACATATGTGAGCTGCTGTGCTGAAGGTCCTCTCAACAGCGCAAGAAGTTCCAACACAACAGAAATAGTCTCTCGCAAGCCTAGCGAGCTTTGGGAAGTTCTTTTGATTGAACTGAGAAGATAGATTGATTGAGTACCAGTAAGTGTGTGTATTAGGAAGAAGGAAGACTTACTCGCCACCATTCCAATATATCGCCTTTACAAGGGTATTTACCAGACATGTAAAGGTCAATCTCGTCATCGACAGAGAGTTTCAGACCCGCAGATGCATGGAAGGCACCTTTCTCTTCAAATGGGTCAGACTCCTCAGTCGGACCAAGTGTAGAATCAAGATTTTCATCTTGCTCTTCGCCATGTGGCTCTTCAAGGGATCCGAGTGTCTGACGAAAAAGTCGTTCAGCATTCATGGCGTATTCAGGATACTGTTTGGTGAAGAAAGTGAGACGGAAGTTCGGGTTGAGTATGGTTGCCAATATGATGGGGTCGCAGTGTAACGCTTCGGTTTGGTACAGTCGCAGCTTGCTAGTCATCGTGGTTATCATTGATGAGATGCTTGGATGAGGTGTCGCAGTCTTCTTTGCGGTCAATAAGCTGATTACAGTGGAGTATTGGAAGAGCACCGATCCCGCGGTTGGTCCGTCTATTTCCATCTTCTTGGTGGAACGAAGAAAAATCTACACATTGACCAAGAGAGATACAAAGTCAATATTCCCTACTTGGAGCAAAAGAAACTTGATGTGTACCTCGAGAACACTGTTCAGTGCCTCGACTGCCTTCCACTCATCGGGAGATATAGTGATCCCTTCGTAATACCCTTCTTGATCAGATGTGATCATGAACGCAATTGTTTTCGAAGCCTGACAGAGATACCGCTGCAGCTGCCGTGCTGGGGTTCTAATCTTTGGGCGAGCCCCTTTTTTTTTTTTTTTTTTTTTTTTTTTTTTTTTTTTTTTTTTTTTCT